ATTTCATAAATCTGACCCGTTTGCTCACAGATTTATTGTTCATCAATTCAGGCATCATAAAGTCTAGTGGCACTTGACACCCTCATGGAATGGTTGGTCCGCTTCCCACTCAGTCCGTCTGCTTCACATAGTTTCTTCACGGCTGTCTTCAAGGTGTTGTGTTCTACTGCCGTTGCCATGTACCAGGAAATTGGCTTTGGTTTCTTCAATGGCGTCAAGTTGAAGGTGTCAATCTTACTGCTATTGGGACTGACACAAACAGTTTTTCAAAACAATTCTGTATTTTAAAACGTGACTTTTAAATATGGAAACAGACAGTATTAAAAGTTTAATAACATTGATAATCGTACAGATTTTTAAAATAATATATACATGTATATGTATCTGTTAATGTCCTTGAAAAGGGAAATAAAATATATTCGATTTGATATTGTTTTTTCGAGCATAAATTCGACATCTATGTGGCGAAAAGAAAGAATCTAGTCGGTTTAATACAACCACGATTGAAACTAATTATAAGACAACTTACCAAAGAGATGTGTACTTTTCCAATAATCGCACATAGCATCATTGTTTATCAGCTGAGTTTTCGTAAGCTTTCACCACTTTTGGAATACAATTTCGGTGCTTTAAGCCTCCGGAGTTTGTCTTGGAACATCTTCATGATATACTAAGTATCGTCGTTTGGAAGATGGGTCAGTAAATGGCCTTTTGATCTGTGGTCTCACCCGAAGACGAAGATTTCTGTGCTCTTGTCCCCCACGTAAGGCGAAGTGAAGACCAGTGCGATAGACAATCATGTGCTCTCCCCCAATATACCCTTCTACCACAGCTCGTTTTCTTCTTCTACAGTGATTGGTTGGGAGGGATCTTTGTTTCCAGGTCCATCACCCGATGCCGCCAGACGTTTCATACTAGCATCAAGTGCCTTTATACAATCTTTGAAAGCTTCATCCTCAAACATGTTGGAATTGAATTTTGTAGTTTTGGCCGTTTTCACGTCTGATCTCAAATACAAAATGTTGCAAGGCCTCGTTTAATAAAGCGTCGGGCATATCAGTTATATTCGTGGTCAAGCAATCTCGTGACAGTTCCAAATTTTCAGAAATTGATCAAGAAGACGGTGATTTTGCCATTTACGAAATAGAGAAACAGCCCACTCATACTTGTAGATGGTGTTCGCCGGGGTTGCTTCGTTCACCATACCTTGGATTCTTTCTATATCTACAGGGTCGCCAAACTGCAGAGGTTTACAAACAGAAACGCCTTCAATATCTTCTGTTTTCTCTTCACCAATAAACTTACTTTGAGTCAGAAATAAAACCTCGTCAAACTCCATGATACTTGATATCGTCTCACGATGCTGGCAGTGTGTCACACGTGGCTGTCTCAACGCGATAACATCTGCTCTTATGCATGACAGTCATGAACTGCGCGCGCAAAATGTCACGTGATACGCTGCGTCGCCTGAGATGACACATCTGTATAAACTGTCAACTTTTACGGTAAAGTGGTAAAGTGTGAAATCGTGTAGCTCTCTAATGAAATCATTTGGTATAGTTCATTTTCATAGAGGGGTGTGAGCATTTTTAAATGCGAATTTTACAGATTTTTCCTTAAAATCCCATATTTCCTCAGTTTATAAGCCGGTTAAGGTTCTCAGACTCGCTCTTGGTGCATGTAGATAAAAGACATTTCACATTTATCACAAGCGTATTCTTGAATTTCATATCAATCATTGGATTGGTTCCAGGTTATCCTCCATTAGTTAATGAAACAAGCAGAGAAACAAGATATACTTCACGTGGAGCATCCGGAGCGAGTCACAAAATCAATAGAGTGATGAGCAATCTGGCACGTAGGCTTCTGTATTTTTCCGATTACGACAAATATGAGTTCATGGTCAGATCTAACTTCTAACAAATCAAAATGAGGTATTGTGACATGTGACAAAGACAGGCCAGGCCCGAACACTATAAAAAGATACCATCAACATTAGGTTGCGCGGTTTGCAATCGATCGAGTCGAATCCCGATCGTTCTAATTTTTCCCCAGTTAGTGACGAGTCTGGCCGGCCTGATCCCGTCCTGTATTGATAGATGGGCTGCGAGGAAGTAAAGCTATGTGAGTATAAAACTGGTGTTACGTTTCTTTATTATGCGAGTATGAATGCTGATAGAGGCGACTTGGAGTAAGCGTCGTTAGACCAATCACTCCTTGACGGAGCCGAGCCGCTGCGGACAAGGCGAGTGGCAAAGTCATGGCGTAACTGACCATGATGACGAGGAACGGCAATACATTTAGTAACTGTAGTAGGGTCGCACTTGAAGCCCAAAAGCAGTTACGACAATACCCTTGCTTGTGGGCTTCATCACAGTGGGAAACAGCAAATGTATGCATATTTTCAGATGTCTTCACAAATGAAGCGTATAAAAGCGTTACACGCATATGGATGGATGTTTGTGTCCCATTGTTCTAGTCATGTTTTCGCTGAGGACATATCTGGCAAAGACTTTGCTTTGAATGGAACATCAATATAATGAGTTGGGTTTAACGCCGCTTTGTACAGTATTCCAGTTTTATCACGGCGTGTCCCCTCAATGTGGGAGGAAGCCCGAAGTGATGCAGGTCTCAGACGTTTGCTACTTCGATGAAACCCACGAGCACGCGTACTTGACGGATTGCTGTAGATTGTCACTGTGATCAGACCACACACAGTTCTAGTCTATACTACGATAGTTTAGATGTGCTTTTCCTCGCTTTGTTCACTAAGATGGCTCGTAGTGGGGATAGTTAAGAACGGGTATGCAGTCAAACTATCTGACGTTTCACAAAGCATGCTAAAACGCTGATTTCAAGATTATAGGGTCTAAATGATGAGAAAAAACGCTTTTGTGTTTATTCGTGCTAGGGAATTCCAAGGGGTTTCCCCAGGAATGTGTAGGTAATCCGTAAGTAATCCGTCAGACAAGAATCTAGTACCTACAATAGCTGCCTTGAATCGGTTATACCCGATTGTAGCTAGGGGATAGTTTGCAAACAGATAAACAATGCAACACTGTACGTGTAACACAATACATACACCAAGGTCATCCATCATAACAATAACGTTATCAACGGCAGCACGTTGCAGTCACTTCGGAGAGGTACCGTTAGAATCAATACATTATCAGGTAAGCATAGCAACTTATAGTTTTTAGTTTTCGAAAGAACAAATTACTTTTGAGTTCAAACAAGCAAATATGATACGCTACATTATTCATATATTTCAGAATTATATTGCATTCTACATAATAGAATTAGGAGATTACTCGATTTTAAATTGGTGAATCACAGGTAACAAAATTATTATAAACTTGAGACAGCTAAATTCACGGCAGCAATGTTAATAGAATAGTACTTCTTGTATAGTCATTGTAGAAGCGCTTTCCTACATACTAATATTATAGGTAACAACATGCAAAGTTGCGGCATCTACAACATTTAAGAATATGTGACAATACATTGAGCAAAAAAACAAAATGGATATCTACAAAAAGAAGTTTTAGATCCTACTCCGGCACTAGTGATAACTTGGCAGTGCACCACGGGATCACGAGATCACGGGAGCGTTCATTTCTCTGGTTTGTAAACAAACGCGCTATTTCTGAAATCAGTGCCGTACAGCCAAATAAAAGCCTTTCATTGCGCTTTACAGATTATTTTGCATAATTATATAAATGTCGTACTACAACCGCAACAGTGAGGTGCAGGACAATAGACAATCTTTACAGATCTAAGTAACCATATCGCTCTCTCATTAGGGCTTTGATGACAGCACGTGGTACCGTACGACCAATGTAAAGGAAGGATAGTTATGGGAATGGAAAAAATTTTTTTCACGTTTTTGGATAATTTTGCAATGAAAGGTTCCATAGCACTTCTATGACATATGTTTATGTAAAAGTGTAGACTTGTCACAAATGAAACAGATGAAAAACATGTGTAATATGAATATTTTACGACACAATGAGCGATATAACGTCGCCGACACAATGAGCGATATAACGTCATAAGATCGGTGAAGAACAAAACCTTGCAAGGCTTGCTAAGTTTTCTTTAGGAGTTCCCACTTTGTGTTAGCTCACGCAGTGCTAAGGGCTTTCATTGCTTGTCCATTGTATAGAGTGTAAAGAACCGACGTAAAGACTCAACCACTCAACCAATACCGCTTCAACCAAAGTATTTGCTTTCAGTACAGAGTTCGGGTTGTGTTAAGTCATGGGAGGATTGGAAATAAAGATACTGTTTTCAACGGAGACCTAGGTTACTTATACAGTTACACGCGACAAAACTGACGTTGCAGCAGTTGGCTATTGCGTTGCGGGCCGAGTGGGCTACCAGGAGATTCCATCAGGGGTATACCCGTTATTGATGGTAGCTGACTTTCACCTTGGACCGATGTACCGATAACTGAGATGACTACAATCACCAAGTGTTCTCTCCACAACCTTTTGGCTCAATACCTTGTACGGTTCCTCGTATAAATGTATTTTTCTATCTCTCACAAATCTGGCTTTGCGTTTCTTATTTTTGAAGAGTATAATATCACTTATATGTCTAAGAGTTTTCGTGAGACAGGTTATAATATATCATACGTAAACTATTCGGCAGTTGCGATCAGCTGTCCCAAAGAAAGCGCGACGCTTATGGTTGTAACTACAATAGCACGATATTGGAATGGTATATTACTGATAAAATAATAGTTTCAGTTACAATTGTTCCGATAAATTCTTTAATGTTTATTGGGAAAGTTTAATCGGGTAATTACCGGTAGATTGTGGAGAAGAATTGTGTGTATCTGATTGCTGTTTACGAGAAAATACACACACTTACTCTCTGCATATATGAAATGTAAAAATATTCTGCTCAAAATACTCAATCTTTCCCAAAATAATACAGAATATCCTAGAAGGGGTGTGCATTTTACAATAGACATACATGTACAACAACGAACAAAGTATTATTCATTGTTTATTGACCTACGAGAGTAGCAATGCTGTGGTGCAAATCTTAAATGAAATACAAGATTACATGTAATCCATTGAACTCCATTCATGTTTTGCCAGTTCTCCTATATCAAAATAATAACGTGTATGTTCTACTGATTCCGATTATGAACCCTGATATTATTAGTTAGAAAATAAGTTATGTTTTAGACATTAGTATTGTATACTTTTAACATTAATTCCACAGCTCTGTAACATAGAGTAAGCTTTCTTTCAGTTTTACCTCCACTAATTGCCACTGCATGCTTTTGACTAACAGCACTGTGACCCAACACCCCCCAGCTCGGTCTATTGCCTCGCTGATAGGCCACGCTAGCCACAGATCCAACTTCAATGTTCAGATGTCACTTTACGTATACTCGTGTAGGTTTATTGCCGAGATTGAGTCAGTTTCTCATCATGTGAGAATTTGGAAGGATATGAGGCTATTCATTCACACTTAAGGTTTGTCAGTGGCAAGGTTAACCGTGAGTGAAAAGATTACCGGTATTACCAGATAATTGCAGGTTTCCCCTGACTACATAGAACTACACCTGACTACGTACCCACGTACGTACAGAAGTCCGTAAATAAAAACAAACAAACGTCATCAGCCTCACCCCTTCCACCCCCATCCCCCCACCCCCACCACTTGCACACACACACACGCACGCACGCACGCACGCACGCGCGCACGCGCGCACACACAGCTGTTTGTGAGTATTTGGGACACCGCCCATGTCAGCTACTACATGTCCTATCGGCCAACACAAGCACGGTCACATGACCGAGCATCAAGTCACGAGGTTTAACAGAGTTCCATCCATTGGTGGATCAACGTTCAATGGTCGTGGTGCCAGATTCTCCTACTACTACTGGTACTTGGTCTGTCAGCACCATGTCCTGCGCGTTGGTTTCAGTCACGAGTTAAACGTCCAAGACTGACGTCACATCGACCTGGTCCATATGCGGCTGTAAGTGAGGCGGCCTTACAATCCTCGTGCTACAAACTGCAGGGAGGAATTTGTCTTTGCAAATCTTGCACATGTCTCACAGATAAAGACGTTTACACCCCGCTGACACTTACACCCAGGTGCGTGAACACTAGTGTACTGGTCGCCTGCTTCCATATAACCTGCCAGCCTGTTTGTTGGTATTTATGTTCTTATGAATCCACATGGTAACAAAACTGCCAGTATCAAAGCAACGTACGGATGCGGTATACATAGATATACTAAACTATGTGTCCTGTCTATAGGTACACTCCTGCTTTCGTTGATGAAGAGGTCCCATCAAAGAGGTGTTTGTATTACGGGAAAACAGTGGCTTCTTTGAACTGGATAGCTCGCCAAACCCCATTGGCTGGTCCGCATCTTGGCTCTTCATCTGCAATAACAATAGTTGAGTATATGTCAGTGCATCGGTAACTCGGTGTACATATATGCAACGTTTCATATGGAATCAGAACAAAGGTTGAGTTATATTCAAACATTTATAACATGAACACAAACCGGAAGCAACGTAACACTTTCAGTGCAAGAGAATAGCCAGACTGGATTATCCGCTGACACACATCCACATTTGGCGTATAGAGCAAAATAGCGGTGGAAACTATATATTTGGACCACTGAAAATCGGTGGTGACACCAGGTGTTCGCGAAAAGGGTGAGCAGGTCCTGCCCTACGGGTAGCACAATAGCTCTATGTGAACAATGGCGGTTAGACGGTGTTTGTTATAAATTCACCGTGCTCTTACAATTTTTATGAACTACATGGAACAAACAGCGGTCCTTCTTCCCGAGGCAAACAAGTAAACTGACTATTCATGCGCTACTTCCACCTGTGCCGAACTTGGTTGGAAATTCGTGGGCCCAGTGGTGCACATGCATTGCAAATCCTGCAGTCGGTCGAAATATGTACGGCAGTCGCCATGATGTTTACGAACAGGATGTTGATGTTGTTACGTGATTTTGATTGGATCGTGCATATACTCGTTAGATCAGCCAAAATATAACTCCGAAATTCCAGCCTAGTTCGGCAAGGGTGGAAACTGTACATTTATAGTCAGTTAACTCCCTTGCCTCGGGAAGATGTGAAATGATGGTTATGATTCTATTATTGTTAGATTGATCTTCATGTAGCTGTCGTAAAATCATCGCCTGAGCTCGTTGTGCGTCAACTATCACACTGTAATAAACGATGCTAAGAACTTGGAGATGTAAAGGTAACTTTAAGTGTACAAGCAACGAAAGAATGCTACAGTTCTATCAAGACAGACCAACTCACTGCGGGAGCAAAGCCTTAAAGGGACGCAGATCCCATGCGTTCATCATCGGATCCATTGAAATACTAAGGGACGTAAATGTGCACAGCTACTTGCGGCGCCTGACATGACCAAGTCAGTTATTGAATCTAGTGATTTCCTTCGTTTTTAAAACCATATATGGATCCAGGCATACAACGTAAATGTTACTGTTACCCTAAAGAGTGTTGAGTATAAAATATTATCTTACCTGTTTATGTTGTTGTGGGCGTGGCAGTTTCAGAGGTGGAACAAGGATGTTAGTCACGCCTTCGTTACACGTGTCGTGTCTGGGCGTGACAACGTCACCATTCAGCACGTGTTCCACGTGGATCTTGCACGAGAAGGTGTCGGGGAGCGGGTCATCACAGGTGTACACCCACTGCAATCTGTCCTCACATTTGTGGTGGGATTCAAACTCGGACTGTGGCACATCCGGGACTTTGGAGCAACTGCACTTTATCAGTTCCCGCAGACGCCTAACCTGCAACAGAAACAGCAAGGAATCCTGGGATACGTCCTCGAAGTAGAAACAACAAGAAACTAACGCTGAAGTGATTGATACCCATTCCATTTACTCAAAGGTTGATCAGGGACATTTCTTTGTCTTTGTATAGTAGTGATCAAATAGATAAACTAAGCAAAAAAGCCATTATTATGATCGTGGGAAGTGTATTTTAATAATATCCAACTTCCAAGTCAGGGATTGTCTGGGTTTAGTAATAATGCGCTTGTCTTGATTTCATTGCCAGTGGGGTTTTCAAATAGTTAACGCACATTTGTTATCTTAAGGTGAAATTAAACTGATATGATTGTTATAATTATCCCTTTGAAGCCTAATCTTTTTTCCACCGGTGTTGGATGTGTCATTTGTTTTCAGTGAGTTTTCACATTTATATTCCCGTACTTACCCATAAGAGACTGACTTATGGTTACTATGGCAACTGTATGGAACCCCGTTTATCCGGACGGTAGAGTTCAGCAGAGAATCTTCCGGATTAACTAATGTCCGTATAAATGGATTATGTGAAAGAAATAATTGTCTCGTTGTTTTATGTGAACTTTTCAGCAAGCAAAGCGTCTGCAGTAACAGGTTCCGGGTCACTGAGGTCACACTGTCACCGAAATCGTTGGCCTACTTTGCCATACATGGAGCTTAGAAACTGTACTAGTGGGGACCAGGGATAGAATGTGTCGATCCTAGCACCCCACATTGGTGGTTGTGAGAGTCGACTAACGGGGGACTCGTGGGGTTCCGGGGTAGACGATCCCCGACAGCCTATGCTGGTTGTGCCAGGCGACGACATGGGCCTGGGGATCATGCTCGATGACTTCAGTGATGACAACTGAGCCCGACCCCTTCAATCACCGGATCGCTTCGATTATTCTAGAGTGTGACACATACACAGGCCTGAACACACATAAGCGCACACACATTCACACATACAGAGACACGAAAGCACACACATGCACGCACAGACACACAAATCGCAGTCTGAGATTGCTGCTCCCAATACCTGCTGATCCCCTGACTCCGAGTCAGCATTGCTCCAGAGCTGAGCCTGAGTCCGGACATGAAGTCGGAACATCAGCCTACTCTCGCAGTCATAGTCCTCTACCAGTCGGACTGAGCGTTCAGCCACCAGCTCCGAGCCATTGAGGGCCCTTTCTTTATCAAGGATTTTCTGGAATAAAGAAACATTTCAACTAATTTCAGCTCTCTTAAGAAATATTGAAAAGACAACATTTTAGAAGAACTATGTGCTACACATAAAGTCATTTAAGACATATTGATAGAAATATAGGGGAAGATAACTTACTGTGAAACTTAATTCATTTCCTAAGTGTGACTAAATAGCAAAACAATATATGAAGCCCGAACATATATTTACCTGCCTGACTTCTGGGATGCTGTTCCTGCGATCCCCGACAAGCAGCGTGACCCAGGCCTCGTGGTCGTGTTGACCGTAACACCCGAACACCAGCGCCACGAGGTCCAGCGGGCAGGTGTGTCCGCACACAGAACAGAAGAAGCCAGTGAAATGGACGGTGAAGATCTCGACATGATTGTCCTCCTTGACGTAATACATGTCCTGGTTTACCCCATCCACCTTCACGGAGACATCGCCAAGCTGTAAATCACAGAGAACATTTCACAGAAGTGGTGAGGTGAAATGGGGTTCGACGTCGCGTTCAAGATTATTGCACATATAAAGCGACGTGCACGCACGTTTATGTGGCTGCTTATACTAGTTCAGACTAACGTCGAGTTTACAGCGCTAGCTCACTGAGATATCATGTCACAGTTTAGCATGAATACCCCACTCAGACACAGTATACTGACTCCGGGCAGACCAGTCGTTGTTTTAACTCTTTAACGCCGAACGTCAGGCAGGGTAACAAAAAGTACAATCTTTTAACGTCTTTTGGTACTTCACAGAAGAGAATGTAGAAAGTAACATGTCAGTAAGCAGTGGGTTGGTCATTGTTTATACTTGAGACACTCAAGACAGAAACTGAGTTCCCGATTTCCAGGACATGCCGAGTTTATTGTCAGTTGACATGTTTATCACATCGTGATAAGGTCAAAGGTGACATTTTCATGAGTCGGGCACTTCCTCGTTGAGGAAGACTGAAGGTTGAATGGATTATTTCATTTGAGTGAGATATGAATTTTAGATGGTTTTTTTTCAAATAAATACATTATATTTTCAGTAAATATATGATAAATTAATTTATTTGATGAGTCCATCGATACATATTACACCAGTTATGGACGTTGATACACTTCAGTTCTGCTTACATGTGGCAATACTACTGTAGGTCCACACAAATAGATTAATGACTAATATGCATGTATATGAAAACATGACACTTTTTATGGATAGCAACTCCTTGTATTCTTTGTACGACGTTTCAGGACTACTTATTGCTCCTTTATCAGGTGTCATGTTTTCATGTTCTCCCAACCTGTATATGCCCATCAAAGACTTCACACTAATATATAGTAGGGAAAATTTAAACAACACAGTGCAAATTCTGGTACATCAATTACCTCAATGTTGCCTGAAGTGTTCTCCTGGAAGAATCTAACCCTGAACGTTTCCTCTGGATTCCTCTGGATGTATGGTATGTGAATCCTGACGTGCCTGTCCCACGTCGTCTTGTGCGACATTTGAAATTCCCCAACTGGGGATACAATCACCTCGTCATCGTCCATGTATGGTTGGAGGTTGTGGAACTCGGGAGTGAAATACGCCTGTACAGACACACTTTCCCCTGTGGGCACGGCGTCCCGTGGAACATGCAGGCTTATGTCCGACCTTCGAACACTCAGGCTTCCTCCCGTGGATGTAAATTCAGCAGATTTGTTCCATTCGTATCCGAATATAGTTCTTGTGTTTTCATGATTACGCTTTGTTTGTGTTCCTCTTGATGAGAATAGATTTCCATAAAGATTTTCCGGTCTGACGGTTTTGTATTTCTGATATTCTAGGTTATTTATAAAATTATCAAGTCGGATTGAAGGTATGCTATGTTTCCTACTATTGCAGTTGTTTGGCGGGCAGTTTTCAGCTGGTGAAGTTCTCTGAGTAGAAGCTGCACCGCTGTATCTGTCAATTGAGTAGTCCTCATCTTCTGTTACAGCTGAGGTTTGGCTTCGGTCACTCTGCACCAAAGTGTCGTGACTGGTAAATTCATCTCTGATAGCTACTGGTGTTACAAAGCTGACCGGCGTGTCATTCTGCAGCTTTGGGATAACCTCAGCTGGCATTTCGTCGACATCTGAAACTGTATCGAGGTGTCTTGCTAATAGTTTGTCTTTATTGAAACTGCCAGAAACCTGACACAGAAGGACCCGATCTGAAGAAGCCTGATGCACAAGAGCTGATTGTAGGCAGGGTCTGTTTTTGCTTAAAGGCAGCGAACGAGACCAATTTTGCCATTCCGTCTCCGGATCATAGACTTTGGATACCATTTGCGGCAAATCGAGAGCAGACTTCATGTTTTGTTCTTCAGTAAAATTGTCATGTTGACTTGTGGATGTCATTGTTCGTGTTTGGTGGCGCGAGACTGAAGCTGATTGGGAACCTTCACCTACTGGAATATCCACTGGATTCATGCCTACAGCTGTACCCTCGTTGCACGTATCATCTGTGTGTGTTTGAAGACTTTCATTCCAATCTGATCTCTCCAAAGAAGGAAAATTAGTCTCAGGTGTCCCTTCGTGATCTGTGTCCACATTAATGTCTTTGAACATCTTCATTTTAACCTTGCGTCTCTTCTCCAGTGTTACAACGATTGTCAAAATAATAATGGCAAGACACACTATCCCAGCTATACTAGCTATCAAAGTAGTGTAGTCAATCCCCTCTGAAAGAAAACCAAATATAATACTTCAACGCCAGAGAATAACGATTATCCAACAATACAGATTCCATTGGGCGTAAAAGGTAAAAAGCGGTGAAAATAATATGAATGGATCACTGAAAATCAGTGGTGACACAAGGTGTTTGCGAAATAGGTAAGCACGTCCTGGTCTCCGGGTTGCAATCGCCACTCACTCACAAACACGTTCAAGAAATATTGTTCAGAGGGGTTCAGTTAACATTCAATGTAAATATATTGTACAGTGGTACAAGATATGCCGAATACTGTTTTGCAAGAGTTTTTCTTTTCTTGCACAAACAGCACATAATCAGCCGACCGATCCATGCACTTTACTAACTGCTTGCCAAATGTGTTATACGCAAAAATGACATAATTCATTCATTGATCAGAAACATATATGCAGCATGCATCTTACCCCAGAAATCCACACTAAAAGAATTAACCACCGCTTTTTAACTGTCATATATCTCGAACTTCAATGTGTATTTAGGAAGTATCTGCATAATCACATTTTCATAAACTTCTCAGATAGACCATGTACCCGAGGTATAAGACTGTATGGAATTTTCCAATCAAAAGTACCTTGTGACCCTTAGATCAAATTTACATCATGTGATCCTCCCATCAAATTTATATCATGTGATCATCCCATCAAAGTCATATCATGTGATCCTCCCATCAAAGTCATATCTTGTGATCCTCCCATCAAAGTCATATCATGTGATCCTCCCATCAAAGTCATATCATGTGATCCTCCCATCAAAGTCATATCATGTGATCCTCCCAGCAAAGTCATATCTTGTGATCCTCCTATCAAAGTCATATCATGTGATCCTCCCAACAAAGTCATATCTTGTGATCCTCCCATCAAAGTCATATCATGTGATCCCCCATCAAAGTCATATCTTGTGATCCTCCCATCAAAGTCATATCATGTGATCCTCCTATCAAAGTCATATCTTGTGATCCTCCCATCAAAGTCATATCATGTGATCCCCATCAAAGTCATATCATGTGATCCTCCCATCAAAGTCATATCATGTGATCCTCTCATCAAAGTCATAACATGTGATCCTCCAATCAAAGTCATATCATGTGATCCTCTCATCAAAGTCATATCATGTGATCCCCCCCATCAAAGTCATATCATGTGATCCTCCCATCAAAGTCATATCATGTGATCCCCCCATCAAAGTCATATCATGTGATCCTCCCATCAAAGTCATATCATGTGATCCTCCCATCAAAGTCATATCAAGTGATCCTCCAATCAAAGTCATTTCCTAGGATGCAAAGCGGAAGCAGTATAACCGGGAGTTAACTATTTCAGTGGTACACTTACAAAACAGGCCATAAGAAGATCAATTTGGCCTTCTATACCCCAATGTAAATAAATCGCTTTGTAAACTACAATTTGATTTTTAAACATTGATATATTGAAATGTAGAGTAAGCGGTGCTCGACCGTTTCCGGGTGTGTATGTTGCAATAAGAAGCAAGACTGCATTGAAGTTGTCACTTTATCTGTAGAAACTACGCCAATAGAATCAACATTTTCATATTCTATATTAACTGCCCGCCTAAGATGTGACACTCACACTGTAATTAAAATATTTCTATCGCAACTGCTGAATAGTATTACCATGTTCTGGCGACGGTGTTCCTGGTGCATCTGCTTCATAGTTAGCTTCGTCATGGGCTAAAGACAGCATTGTAGAGTAGGGCATGTAGGCTGTATGTGTTATCCCTGTCGTTGTTGTTGTCGTTGCTGTTGTTGCTGCTGTTGTTGTTGATATACCTGTTGTGCTCCTTGGTGTATGGTATTCATGCTTGAAGAATTTCTTCATCACCTTGCGCATACAGTGTTTCTTTTTCATTTTCTGGAAAGGAGAAATACACAAAATATATATACAGGTCTTGTATGCTGGTATGCACCTGTGTCTTAGAAACGTTGTGTATGTGACAGAAGGTACCACCACCGAATACTTTCAGCTAACGTCAGCTCAAACTGGTGAAATGGGGTTTAATGGGGGTGTCTGTCTGTCTGCTTGCAATAGTCCAGAAGAATGCCGGTTTTTAATGCTAGCCCACTGAGATACAATGCCGCAGTGTTAACATGGATACCCCATTCAGTAACAACAAGTTCCATCTTTTAACGTCTTTGGGTGTGACCTCCTGGTCTCCGGGCAGACAACGGGGCGGTCTGTCAGTCACAGACAGTATATGGATTGCAATTGGTCAATGTCTAAGTGAGCATGTTTTTTAGCAATATTTCAGCCATATCACCGCCTCGTGGCCCACGTTATGGGTGTGGATGAATACAGCAGGTGAGAGCTTGTACCACGATCAATGTGGACAGTATAGCAACACTGTTGCTGGTGAGAAACTGTGGTACTAAGGTGTTTTCATACAAGTAATCTCCAGGAAATGGGGTGAGTGAGTGAGTGAGTGAGTGAGTGAGTGAGTGAGTGAGGGTGGTTTGACGCTGTTTTAGCAATATTCCAGCAATATTACGACTGGGACACACACACATTGTACCAATGTAGGGAATCGAACCAGGGTCTTCGGCGTGACGAGCAAACGCTTTCACCACTCGGCTACCCGCACGCCCCTGTCAAAGCAGCCACACAAAAATAGAAACAAATCTTGTGCCAAGTAGTCCAGTAGTGATTTGGCGTGTACCTTTCCCTTGCACTTCATTTCTAGGAGTCGCATGAACACTTCCATCTGGCTACGACATTCCTTTATAACATGCTGGTGTTTGAGCCAGTTTTGCATGCATTCTTTAAGCGACACTGAAATGGAGCATGGACACTTTACTTTCAACAACCAAACTATTAAGTGACTATTTAATAAAAAAACGATAATTAATTATCAAATCATGTGCATTTATTTCTGTTATCAAAACAATATCACTTCACCCACACAAACCCGCACATATTGTTCAGGCTACGACAATGTTTCAGTGATATATCTGTCAATAGAAGGATCTCTTGGACATAATTACATACTCATCTACTTCACCAAACAATGGACAAAAACTTACATTTGACATTTGATGTGTAATACATGCAGTTGTCCTTTCAAAATACATGTTCATGAAAATGTTCATTAGCTTAAGTAACCTCCCCGTAGAAATTAAAAATAGAAGAGTATGAAAATGCCATAAATACATTTTTTGCAAACTGCATTCTTCTTTCGTGTGCATTTCTTTTTATAACCGTGTTTGCATGTCCGGCAGGGTTTGCAGAGTGCTGGAGAACCTTTGGAGAAGTAGCCATCTTGGCATCGTTTGCATCTCCAGTCTTGTTGACCATTCTTCCTCAACTCTTTTCCCGGGGGACATATCTTCAAAGACCTCTGTCCACCCTGCAATAAAGAATCTCATAGGCATGAATGATACGTCTCACCGGCGACACTCTCAACTTGACTGTAGAGACTTCACACTATCAACTTCCCCTCCACACACAGCCCCGATCAATGTACCGGCGACAACCGGCTCATGGCAGCTGAAGGTACCCAGGCATTGTGGACAGAAACCAATGTTCTATGATATTGTTGTCATCACCGTGTCCGGATTTTGAGGTTAAGACTCAACTCCATGTATGAACTCCACAGCAGATGGCAAGCATGTCAGTCACAGCCGATTAGACTGAACATGCAAATATCTGCTATAGAGTCTCCCTAGCTGCCTAATAGAAGCTAATCTCCCTTCCAGATACCGTCACCTCATGTTCTGTTTAATGTCAAATGACGTCATTGTGTACATCATTTGTTTCAATGTTCTTGACTCACCTGTGTGACAAGGGGCAGGAGTACCAGAAGTGCAATCCCCAGGCCCAGCCTCAGCATCATGCCGCCTTACATACCTGCAACACAGAGATGCACCTGCACCTACATGGTCTACATTTCCCATGTTTTCAGATACAAACGAGCATGCCCTTTCGGTATCCCCGAGTTGAAGTATGCATTGTGTACATGTACAAGGTGCTTCCGGAAGCAGCAGGCGGGGGTGAGGGTGTGTGTGTGTGTGTGTGTGTGGGGGGGGGGGGGGGGGGAGGGAGGGATGTATGTCCTTTCCGTAAAGACTGGGGCTCCGAGGTCGCACAAGTGGCTGAATTGTTCGCACGATGCAGAGCTACTACAATCAGGGAATCTGGATATTACTTTGAAGTTTAATAAAAGGGGATCAAATAACTGCTTTTAGTCATTTCCTTCACGACTGGAACCTTATGTAAACAAATGTGTTTTGAAGTAGTTACAATGTAGTTTAATTACTTGCAATTGATTGGTTACAAACGTCGATCTCCAAGAAAGATAGCATTTGACGAACGTTCTCGCACAGTAGCTGTGAGAATTATCAGTCAAGTAGATCAATGAAGTTGTCATGGTGTTATAATCGATAAAACGTTGAATAATGACAGCAAACCGATCGCTGATGCTTGACGCCATATAGTCTTTATTTACGAACCTAATCTTTAAGAATCCCCAAAGTAATGTGTAAAACTGTCTGTTTTTGTTGTTGTGTATAGTTCTTTATACGGGTGTCCTAGTTTGTAACATGAATTCCGATGCGCTGCCATTGAAGTGAACAACCCTATTCAAGACCGTACCCGCGTCGACAGTAATCTCGACACAAAGCGGGTGCGGTGTTCCCTATCTTGGTCATCACAAGGAAAGAGGAAGTTATTTAACAGTGCTCGCCGTGTCACGATAAAGGATGTAGTTTGATGACATTATACATGCACGCTGTCTATGGTAATATATTACCGAGATTCAGTCATGTTCTTCTTTGAAAACTACATAAATATCAACTCGCATTCATGGATACGCTCTCAACGGTGTCTTGAATAAAGATAATTGAAACAAGGTCTGAACTACGTGTGTGCTAGGTGCGAGAATGTACCAATGCTATATACAGGGTATGAAATATTAAAAACTAGGAATCAGATGTCTATGATAAACAACTTGTCTGCAACACCTTGCCCATGAACCGTTATTTAAAATCAAAATGTAATATTCGCTATGTTACGTCACACATCACTGAGGATAAGAGACACACTCAGCCAAGTGTGTTAACACACGTTAGTCTGGACATACCTTCAGACTCAGCCAAGTGATGTTAACACACGTTAGTCTGGACATACCTTCAGACTCAGCCAAGTGATGTTATCACACGTTAGTAGAACATACCTTCAGACTCAGCCAAGTGATGTTAACACACGTTAGTATTGACATACCTTCAGACTCAGCTAAGTGATGTTAACACACGTTAGTATTGACATACCTTCAGACTCAGCTAAGTGATGTTAACACACGTTAGTACTGACATACCTTCAGACTCAGCTAAGTGATGTTAACACACGTTAGTATTGACATACCTTCAGACTCAGCCAAGTGATGTTAACACACGTTAGTATTGACATACCTTCAGACTCAGCCAAGTGATGTTAACACACGTTAGTATGGACATACCTTCAGACTCAGCCAAGTGATGTTAACTCACGTTAGTAGGACATACCTTCAGACTCAGCCAAGTGATGTTAACACACGTTAGTAGGACATACCTTCAGACTCAGCCAAGTGATGTTAACTCACGTTAGTAGGACATACCTTCAGACTCAGCCAAGTGATGTTAACACACGTTAGTATGGACATACCTTCAGACTCAGCCAAGTGATGTTAACTCACGTTAGTAGGACATACCTTCAGACTCAGCCAAGTGATGTTAACTCACGTTAGTAGGACATACCTTCAGACTCAGCCAAGTGATGTTAACACACGTTAGTAGGACATACCTTCAGACTCAGCCAAGTGATGTCAACACACGTTAGTAGGACATACCTTCAGACTCAGCTAAGTGATGTTAACACACGTTAGTAGAACATACCTTCAGACTCAGCCAAGTGATGTTAACACACGTTAGTAGGACATACCTTCAGACTCAGCCAAGTGATGTTAACACACGTTAGTATGGACATACCTTCAGACTCAGCCAAGTGATGTTAACACACGTTAGTAGGACATACCTTCACACTCAGCCAAGTGATGTTAACACACGTTAGTAGGACATACCTTCAGACTCAGCTGACTCCGGATCAAAGGCCGCCTTGTTCTGTCATCGTTTGCGCAGTAACAAGAAGGGACGCATGCGTAGTGCTTCGTGACGACACGGGTGGGCTATTTAAAGTTTCTGTCAGTTATTTATAACCCATATGTCAGTGTGGTTGTGTTGCTGCCCCTTGTGGACGGGCATTCTGCTACTGTTGCACTGTGTTGATACACAAGATCTGTTGCCTCTTTGCAGTATTGCAACAGTGGGTGGATTACACAATCACGGATATACGCTTAAAGGATTTTGTTTATCGTTTGTTGTTTAACGCCTCACTCAGCAATACTCCAGCTATATGGCGGCGGTCTGAAAAATAATCCGAATCTGGACCAGATAATGTGTGTATGTGTGTGTGTATGTATATGTGTGTGTGTGTGGTTGTGTATGTGTGTGGTTGTGTATGTATATGTGTATGTATGTGTGTAATTGTGTGTATATGTGTGTACGTGGGTATGCGCGTGTGTTTATGTGTTTGTGTATGTGTGTGTATGTGTTGTGTGTGTGTGTGTGTGTGTGTGTGTGTGTGTGTGTGTGTGTGTGTGTGTGTGTGTGTGTGTGTGTGTGTGTGTGTGTGTGTGTGTGTGTTTGTGCGTGGATGTGTGTGCGTACACATTAGGATGTACTCAATCAGACACAGTATACTGACTCCGAGCTGACCAGTCTTTTTTCTATCCACTTATTGCCAAGCTTATGAATAAGCATATAGTCAACACCCGTGTGACGTGTACGTGTGCATAGTGTGCATTATGTACTTGCAATAAAATAGCAGGTGTGGCTTCATCTGCTCCTCTTGGAGTAAAGGCTGCTTAACGGTCAAACAAGTTTTGTAACTAAAAGCACAATGTACATTGTAAAATTGTGTAGTCGGTACACACAAAATAAATATACCACCCCAAGCCAAGACAGCAGCCAGGACAACCAGGAAGCCGCCGTCATCATAACAACCCAACACTCTCTCTCACTAACGTTCCCGCCTCAAATCGAAGGCTTTTTGCCCGAAACACAATTCACAGTTAGTTGGATATACCAACTACCTCGGCAGGAACAGAACACGACTGTTCCCACAATTATAATTATATTCCACATCTGTGTAATGTGGGCGAATCCATATCCAATTAGCACAAACACAAAAGCCTTGCAAGGACAGGTGGAAATAAACAGCTGGGTGTACAAATATATACAGGGGAAATGTCCGGGTGCCTCTCGATTTTAGACTCATACAACTCTCACATATGTTCATGCATGCTCATCCAGCCATAGGGGCGGTCGGGTAGACTAGTGGTTAAAGCGTTCGCTCGTCACGCCGAAGACCCGGGTTCGATTCCCGACATGGGTACAATGTGTGAAGCCCATTTCTGGTGTCCCCCGCCGTGATATTGCTGGAATATTGCTTAAAGCGGCGTAAAACCATAATCACTCACTCACCCACACATCCAGCCATAACGTGATCTTAATTAAGCAATGACACCACGGGTAAAACATTCCTCAATTATCTGGTGGACCCCCTTAGCCATCCAATCAAACTGTCTCCAGAGCAAGAAACATTCTGTGCCCAGCAAGAGATGGGACCTCTTAAGGTGATGATGTCAAAAACTATGATGGCGAATGGGTCGGTGTATGCATCATTATAGAATGGAGTTACATTGGGTCATGGTGGAGGAGGTCGATGTGGCACACAACAACTAAAGAATGATTGAGGATAATTCTGTTGCTCCCATCAAGTTGTCATTAGGCGTACTGTTGTTTGGATTTTAGACAAAACGGTTTCCATAATCATCAGAATTATTTGCTTAAAGTAGAGTTCATTGTAGGTTTTACTTAGGATTATGATAATCTTTGAGACATGGATTGAGTGGTACATTTGCTGGACCCAGCAATATCTCTCTCTTTTTGTGGATTTTTATTGAGCTTTGGAATTCAGTACAAAAGAGGGATTAACATATCTTCAGTTTGTAGAGTCAAGTCAGAAGTTGATGGTACTGATGATTCGGCACATTTCTCCCTCAGTTAAAATACCGGCCTTTATGTAGCATTATTTAACACGTCACTTGTGCAAAGTGTTTTTAATCCAATAAATAATGTAGTGAAGTTTACACATAATGGTTATGAGTTGAGTACTTAATTAACATATCAGACAATAATTATAAAAAGGTTATACTGTGAAACATCATAATGTCGAACTCTGATACGTCGGCGAGAGCGAATATTGATGGTTAGATCCAGCCTCATAACACCCAAAGACAGTAAACACACACGACATATATACACACATACACTCACATATACACACACACACACACACTCACATATACACACACATACACGCACACACGCACACTCACATACATACACATACACACTCACATATACACACACACTCACATATACACACACACACATACACGCACACGCGCACACTCACATACAAACACATACACACACGCACATACGCACACGCACACACACGTACAGCCACACATACACACATGCTGTTTTTGTTGTTTTAAGTGTTTAAGAGGTCGCCATCTGCCCAAGCTATTTCGTTTGAATTGTCCTCCTTTGGGACTCATGTGACATTCCAGTGACAAGTGAGCAGTGCACGCGTGCATGGCTATGTGAGTGCAATAGTCTTACACAAGTTGTTAAACCCTATTTCTACCTCACCTCACCTCACCTCACCACACCTCACCTCACATCACCCCACCCCACCCCACTCCACCCCACCCAATCCCACATCACATCACCTCACCTGACCCCCTCCCACCCCATCCCACCCCACCCCACTAAACCCTACCCCATCCAACCCACCCAAAACCAGCCCACCCCACCCCACAACACCCCACCCCGGCTCACCTCACCTCACCCCACCCCACCCCACCTGACCTAGTATAGATAGTTTTTTCAACGGTTCCCCCTCCCCAAAACACTTTGTACTTAATCAAAACGGGGTGTGAGTCAGGTACGAAAATAGACATCTCAACCTTCAACTGTCCTCTAGAAAATGGCCTGCTTTGTGTGTAGCGTCCCAAAGGGGATTCCCCTTTTTATGCCTGACGCGATGTAACAGAAAATGTGTGGCTAATAACACCACCGCACCCTCGCGAGTATGGAACTGAATACCATTGTAAGTATATCTACATCCAGATCGTTACGTACGTAAGTGTGGTCTGTCTCCATGCAGTAGACACGCGGTGTAGGGGTAGCTGCTTGTTTCTAGCTCCAGCTGATGTGCGCCTTGCTTACAAACTGCTGCGACTGCTACTCGGCTGCATGGAGTACGACCGTCACAACGCTTTCCCACCGTCGCAAACTGACATTTATCCATGTATCACATACTTCCTCCGTGTTGCTTGTTAATCTGCTGATATGATATCAAGTACTATTTACCTTCCAACATAACATAGATGCGCATCCTCAGTACTATATTACTGTTGTATTCCAGTAAGTGCCGCCACGTCGGGGGTGGGGGTGGAGGGGGGCGTCGAGGGAAGGGGGGTCGGGGGTTGGGGGGTGGTGCGTCGAGGGAAGGGAGGTGGGGTGGAGTGAGGGATTCACAGGTGGCCAGTGGTTTTGCAGAGTTTTGTCCCTTGAGCCGGAAACCTACAGTCATTTTTTCCATTCCCAGATTCGCATTGGTTAGGTCTACATGACGGTCAGGTGCATGCTAGGTGTTCGCCTGCATGATGGAGGGAGGTTGTGGGAGGTTGTTTTCGACCAAACGGGTTCACTCACATTGAAATGAAATACGACTTGTGGATGTTCATCATATATTAGCAGTTTATAGTGACTGTAATATTCAGCATATTTAACATGGACAATAGTTAATAGTGAGTGTATTACTGCCACCTAACAAAGGAAAACAATAAAAGTAAAGTTTTCATTAACTGCTTTGATAGAATTTGTAAATATTCGTGCAAGTACTGACTAGACGCCAGAAGCCACATGGCTGCCACTCCATGTAGAACAGCACTCTTGCATGACACTGCAATTAATTTATTTCTTCAAAACAAAATAATATCATACAATAAACCAAAACATTTTGTTCGCTGCATACACTCGGCGTTTAGTAAAAGAATGTGATGTGTTCATTTTTCATACTGGGTGTTCAGTAAAATAATGTGTTCATTGTTCATACTGGGCGTTCATAAAACAATGTGATGTGTTTGTGTAGTAGGTGTTAATTCTGTTTGGAAGGTCTGCATCTCCGTATTTGTCTCATCTACCTGGATGACTTAATTATATTCTCCAAGACCTATGAGGAGCATGTAGAACGCCTCAGACTAGTCTTCCAGCGTCTCCAGGAGTGTGGCCTCAAACTTGCTACTAAGAAATGCAAGTTTTTCAAACGGAAGGTCAGGTATGTGGGATATATAGTGTCAGCTGAGGGAGTTGAAGCAGACCCAGACAAGATCGACAAGATCAAGAACTGGCCTGTTCCCAAGAACCCTGAGGATGTTCGTCGTTTCCTGGGTTTCGCAGGGTATTACAGGAAATTTGTACAGAACTTTTCAAGGATTGCACGTCCTTTGTCGGCCTTGATGCCCTCCACACCACAGAGGAAGCGCAAGTCACGGAAGCATGTACCTCCAATTGACTGGCAGTGGGAAGAAGCACAGCAGGATTCTTTTGACAAGTTGAAGTCCTGTCTGTCAAGTCCTCCAGTTCTAGGATATCCAGACTTTTCTAAGCCCTTCGAGCTCCACACAGATGCCAGTGCTCAGGGATTAGGAGCTGTTATATATCAGGAGCAAGATGGGGTATCTAGAGTTATAGCCTACGCCAGTAGAGGACTCACACGCTCAGAACGGAACTATTCAGCTCACAAATTGAAATTTTTGTGCCTCAAGTGGAGTGTGACCGAAAAGTTCCATGACTACTTATATGGACACGAGTTTTTAGTCTTTACAGACAACAACCCACTTACGTACGTGTTAACTACTGCAAAGTTAGATGCCGCAGGACACAGGTGGTTGGCTGCTTTATCCATGTACAACTTCACCATCAAGTACAGACCTGGAAAGTCTAATGCGGATGCAGATTCCTTGTCAAGATTGCCAGTTTGTGAAGAAGTCAGCAGTGAAGTTGTTCACGCCATCTGTGGGAAAGTACAGGTGTCCAGCTTGGTCGAGACCATCTGTTTGTCTGTTGATAGCATGTCCCAGGATGATGTTTCTGTTGTTGAGGAACAATGTCGAACCAATGCCAAGGAGTGGAGTAAGACTCAGCATAGAGACCCAGACTTGTTAGACATTATTGATTCTCTTGAATCAGGACAGAGATTGGACCACAAGATGT